TTGCTGGAAATTTTGCTACGGAGGTTTGTTTCTTAATATACTCGTTTGCGTAACGAATTAATTGAGAAGTCAGAAGTGTACTGCGATAAGGTAAATTATTCACTGTTCGTGTTTACGTAAACTATTCTCAGATAATGCTCTAAGTTAATATAAACTGCTATCGCGGTCAGTCCTTCCCAAACCTGCAAATATTTAACAGCCAGTTTCTATCAGTTTGATGCATACACAAGCGTACAATTGTGATGTCTGTGAAAAATTTTGCCGACAAGCGCAATCTAAAGAGGCATCAAGTGGTACATGCAGGTATAAAGGTGGGTGCAAAATATGTCAGTCTCTGGATTCAGCACATAAGGCAGCATGCAAAGACACAAGAAATTCGAAAATTTGCACTTATGAATTATTCTCTAAAATCATGCCCTCTTTTAAATTTTAAGCCTATATGTCTATGACAGAAACTTAAGCTATGAAATATCAACAGGCCCCGAACAGAACTCCTGCAAGTTATACTTACTTCCAAATAACCCTAACTATGATTGGTTAGGACCATTTTTTAGTAACTGCCATTAGAATGTCTTATCTTTCTATTTGGTTGGACTCAATCTTTTTACCATCCTTTTTTTTCTGACATCAACTGAACCAAAGTTAAAGAGAGCTGATGTCAAATTGCCATGCATTGAACAGGCAAGTCTATGAAGGATGATGTAATATCCGAATCAGTTGAATTTGCACCACGTAGAGACGTATAACAGGACAATGAAAGAGCCTCTCCAATGGCAATCTTGGCAGGTTTCTGTCTGTCATCAGGACAATCGATTGGAACAAAATTTAAACACTTATCTTTTTTTGCAGCCCATAACATGAATTGGCGTTTGCAACTTCACGACTGCATGACCAATGGTCATGTCAACAGTATAACTAGGAAAAATGATAACATAATAATACGCTTTGATTAATAAAGTGGGGAGAGAAACGCCCGTGGTTCTGTGATTTGTGGTTCTCTGTTGTTTGGTTCTCGCCGTTATTTCGATTCGGGAAACGTAACGTGATTGCACATAGAGAATATGATACAACAGTGGCGTCGCCAGCATCGATAAGTGGGGTGGGTATATTCATATTCATATTGACAGACCGTAAAAACAATCAATTTGAAAAGAAATTAATAATGCAAAACGCGAATATATGAGTATGTTCATCCCACTTATCATGCTGGCTACGCCCTGGTTGCAAATGAAATTCATCTCTGAGTGCTTCTATTATGTGCGATTAATTCAGTATTTGCTGCCCGCTGACCTGAAATCATGACGTATGGAACGAAATAAATGATAATTCAGTTTTTCGAGGATATGTCGTTTGATTCTCTATTCATATCAGCTGGTAGCCACGCTAAAGTTAGCGAAAAACGTTCACCACAAAAAATTTTTGGCACAAAAACGAGAGAATTGTATTCAAAAGTTTGAAGTATATAAGAGTTATAAGAAATGTACTAAGGAAATGAAGGCTCAGTTTTGTTAAGGTTCTGTCTTACGATAGATTAGCCGATAGATTAGCTCATAGATTTGCTATTTTTTTATAAAAAGTGAACAAGTAACAAAGTTGAAAACTCACTTTTTGCTTCATATTTTGGCACACACTAAGTTTAGGCTTTCATATAAATCCGGAACCTGAACTATAGAAGTTATCATTCCAGATTCACTGGATGGATACTTATGAAAGAGACATGCAACAGCGACATGCATGACAAATTAAAATTGAATTCACTGCTGTACATACGTCAAATGCAGCACTGCCATCCTCTGTACTGAACGAAAAAGGGGACTGATACGTTCCAATATAACCATTAAGGGAGCAGAGTGGCAGCGTCTTCAAACAACTTGGCATCAAATGTGGTATAACAACTGCTTAAAATTGACAAAAAACCTCTCGACGTCTCGACCTGAGGGCCTTCGTCGGAAGAGTTAGTATGGCAGTAAGAGAGAGTTATAGTATCATACTAACTCTCATGACGAAGGACCTCAGGTCGAAACACATTTGATGAAAAAGGGGTCATGTTAAATATCTATTAAACAGTAACCATTTGTACTTGTGAAGTGTGAACACAGAGGCAACAAAAGTTCGGCTTATATGGTTGCAAAAATGATCGTGAGCAGGAAAGTTGCTTCGCCTTAAATGGTCTTAAAATATTGTTGTACAATTTTTGATTTTAAGATCCTTGAAAAAATCGTTTCCTGCGAACACACTAACCAGCGCCGGAGCAAAATAACTTATATAAATAAAAATAATAAGTAAGTTAGCAATTACATGAAGACGCCAACATTTCCGCCAGACGCTTCTCATTGGAATGTCATAATAATGAACTTGAACGAAAACTGAAATAATGTTGAATGCCAAGTCTATTCCAAAACTTAAACCTAGTTTGATCATTGAACCTCTGACAATTTGCCAACGAGGGATGTCGTAGTTCATAAGAATATAAAACGTCAAATAGGTCTGACTGATGACGACGATGATGTACTCAAACAAGATATTTTGAATTTCAAGATCAGCATTGAATCGACGAATTCGCGGCGAATTTAAGCATCTCACTTGTAATATTGGCCCACAACGTGATCTGTTAAAGCATTTGACAATGCACTTCCAAATTTTAACTCTGATCCTCAGAGTTGCCTTGCTCAGAACATTGGAAACACCATGTAACAGCGATAGGCTAATAAAAATCCAGATATCTTGAAAACCTGACTGCAATGTACGGTACACAGCGATCGCACCTCCTCGTATGAAAAAGCACAATACAAAAGCCCGATCAGACGGAATGAACTCCCAGCTTTTTCGCAGGACAAGATATTTTGAAACAGCCGTCAACGGAATGGCAATTCCTGGAGTAAGTGCAGCGATGACAGCTTTTTTCGTCCTCCCCTCCGTCTCTCCGAATTTTTTTATCACAACAAAGACCATTAAATATGAAAATAGACAGGCACCAACACACGGGAATAAAAGGACAAAGGATATTCGTAGAACGCTGCAGTGTATTTCAGGATTAACCCTCTTGAATTTACGAGAAACCAAGTAAACACTAATAACAATGGCGGACAAAAACACAATGTCATTTGGTATCCTAAGGAGAAAATAAAGGATATACTCAGTAAACGTAACTATATACGAAGTCGAGTTACATAGCTATTGCTTTTTTGTTATAGGAACCTAACCTTACGTAAATGAAAATTGAATACAACGCATAGATAACGACAGAAGAGTGTGACAAATGTCTGAAATTTCAAGACTACAAATTACTTTATGCAACAAATTGAGGTTTCGTCTACCCCTGCGCGTTATTGAGGGGCTGTTCACATGAGCCCGTTTACCGATATTTAACGAAGCGTAAAATGGACTTTGAGGTATTAAAATGAGTAAATAACACGATTCTAGCTGGTAGTCGTACAACCATCCTATATAACAACAGCATGTGACTGTTATGTTTTAAAAATACTTTTTTCAATACCTCAAAGTCCATTTTACGCCTCGCGTTAAATCTCGGTAAAATTTGAAAACATCTTTTGAAAGCTCCGTGGTGCTGGTGTGTGATATTTTCTCTAATCGATTTTACTCCATGGATAACTTTTGCTTATTTACATATGTTCCCGCATTAATGCATCTAGTTTCAAACTTCGGTCCACGCCAAGCTGCCAAGACCTTTTAATAAAAGAATGTATGGAGCCCGGCCTTAAATTACATACTCACATGTATATGTTATCTTTGGATTTCACTAATTTCTTATACAATAGTGAATTAAAAATACATGTGAATGATAGGGTCACTATGCAAATGCCAGACAGAAATGTTAAGTAGTGCTTTTTGAACTGCTGGAAACCCCACAACATGACAACAATTCCTGGAAACCATAACACAAATGCAAGATTTGAAATACATGAAGCAGCCCTTTGTAGATTTAGGATACGCTGCGTAACTTTCTGATTGTTACGAATCCATGCTATACACACGTTTTTTGTATTCAAGTCAATGTAGACGACTCCAATCGTGAGCAAGCCTATTATAAAAACAACTGCAACCAAGATTCCTAAATTTGTCATAAAACTCCGGCATAGTGATTCACAGAAACTCCGTCTGTTTTCTTCACTGGCTTCCACCAAAATTGGAATGTTCTCTTCATGTTGAGGCAACTGAACTTCGTACTCTTGGTGTATTAGACCATTGTCAACTTCCTGCGATTCACAATTCTCTTCAGTCTCTTGAATTATCAAAGTGCTGTCCCTTTGGCTTCGCGGATTTTCTTGAGATATCGGAGGTATGCCAAGGACGAAACTCGAAACTAGTGAAACAAAACTTCCAATGAATTCCTCAAGAATCATGTTTGCTGTAAACCTTCGCACGGATGTAACGGTGTATGAATGTTAATCATGTACGATTATTTATATAAACCTGTTTATCTTAATATAAATTGTTCTGCCAAGTTTTATTGCGCACGTGTTATAAGACACTGTCGCTTTCATTTTAGCATCAATCGAACGCTAATTGACCATAACAAAAAAGTCGGAAATCGTTTAAAAAACCGAATTGACGTCTTTAGACAGACAGGCTCAAAAAAAGTAAAATGTACATGCTGCCATCTTTTTCGTTACGGTCATTTGAAGGGGGCCATATTCATATATTCTGTTATGCCAGGCTGGTTTCTTGTGGAAGTAAAATCGTAACAGGCATAGCAGAATATATGAATATCAAAGACGACGCGAGAATGGCGAATAAATGGCGTAATACTCCTATATATGGACATGTTAGTTATGCCACGCCATTTATTCGCCATTTTCACGTCCTTTTGAAGTTCGCTGTTGCCTCCTCCAGCTAAATCTGCCTAATATTGCACGACTGAGTTTTTCATTTTCACCCGGACTTTAACGGCCAGAAGAATTGAAAATGTAAAGACGTCATGTAAGAATAATAATAAAATCTCGAAACTTCAATATGGCGGCCAATAAGGAGCAAACTGATTTTGTTTGTGTCGAGTGTGGGCAAAAATCTGAAGAGATATACAAAGAATTTAGAGGAGGAAGCTTTAAACTTTGCATCTGTGTAAGTGTAATATTTCGAATTACTTCCAAGAATTAGGTTTAGGTAAAACTGTTTTAAATCGATCATTTAATTGTTTTAAAAATATAAATATAATAAATGTAATACACTGATTAATACACTGATTTTTCAATATATTTTTTACTGTAAGAACAATAAGAAATACTCATTATATATGCTCTGAAATGTAATGTATATTCATACCTTATCTATAGTGGTAACCTGTACCACTGCATAGCCTGAGAGTGCCAGCAGATTTTGCATCCTGGAAACATCTTATTTGTTCACAAGCCATTTTAGGTTTAACACTTTGAATGTTATTTCAAAATTTTATTCATTTTAGACTCTTAAAAGCGACAATATGTTATCCTGAGATTAGTGCTTGTCTTATAGTTATAAATTAATTTAAAAACTGTCTCAGGAACTTTAGTATTAGATTAGCAGGAAAGCTCAATTTTTGAATATTTCTGCCAGGAAACAAAAGAATTTTTAAAGGCCTGATGAATGTTAATATACATAGGAGGTCAGTCTGGTTAATCAATAAACCATATCTTGGTTGATATATTCCATTTAGAAATTTTGCAAGAAAAGAGTTGATAAATATATGGAATTTGATACTGTCATTGTTTTTCTGGATATCATTCTCCATAAGATTCAAGCATACCGTCACCTGGTTTTCAATAAACCTCCAAAGGTACAGTAATACTGTTTAACATCTGATCATAGGAAACCCAATAAATATTTGAAATAATAAGCTTTACTCCAGTTGCACTTCACTCCATTTGCACTGTGAGGTCAGTGAGTCATAGTAAATAGCTTATATTATGCTTCGCCTTTGAAATCGCTATGTCACTGAACTCACAGGCAACTGGAGCGAAGCGCAACCGAAGTAAATTTTATTAGTTCAAATATTTATTGGCTTCCAGGTAATCATGTGATGGCGAGTACAACTTGGGAATAATAGTACAAGTGATGTTTGAAAATTCTGCGAAAATTTACGAGCCATGCACTGTTTCAAACTATCCGCCATTTTGTTTATTTTAGCAAAATCACTAAATGTACTGCTTTGCAATTAGTAAAATAATTGTAACATTCTCGACCAATCAGCATCCAGTTATTTTAGTGCCAGGACTGCCCTAATCATAAATACATATAACAGGCGATTTGAATGACTAATACATGAGTAAAAAGAACAGAGAAACTGTGTCACAGCGATCACGGCTTTCAAAACTCTTGCTTAATGTTGAAAAATGTTTTGTTGCTGATCAACAAACTCAGCTATATATTTCTCTTGTTTGTTTTCCTCCCTTCTCTGGTATTTTCCTAAGATTCACAAAAGTAATGCGAGCAAGACTGGCCAGAGAACATCTTTTTTATAGTTTCTACTTGCAAACGGCGGTCAATCTAATTTATTCCTAATAACCTTTTTGCTTCACCGAATTGAAAACGAGGGCAGGACAATAACCCTCGAATACAAACGAAAAATAAATATGGCGGACATTACAACCGAAAATCGCTCTTTTGAACTTCATCAATGCTAGAACAAATATCAACTCGCTATATGGCTCGCTTATCAGCGTGTGATAAAAAAAATTGACAACTGCACTGAAAATTGTAGTGTGCTTTTCAAAATAGGCGTTTGCAGTACCCTATGATTTTATTCAGAAAGACGTGATAAGGATTTCAAGTCGCGTGCGAACGTTTTTGAATTTTTGAAGTGTTTTAAATTATGTAATGTGAAATTGAAAAGATTATCATACCTGTCAGTTTAAGTACCTACCGGAACTACAACCACGACGACTGTTCATTTTATACTGTCGCTTGTGTATTCTAAAAGCCCACTCACACTTACACATATTGAGTGGGAGATAATAATCACCTCATAATTATTACATCGCCGTATTTCAACTCAAATGAGAGGTTCAATTTTGTCCTTAAACTCCCGCCATTGATTGAGAAACGAGAATGGACTCATTTATAGTGACTAACCAGAACGCAATCAATTAGTGCAAGCATGGGTAAGCTTTCAGATTTCAGAATACAAGCGTATATATATGAATACAAATTATAAAATAACATGTACCGGGTGGCGCAAAAAAGTTAACCGGTTTGATTGAGTATAACTTCAAAATTAAAAGAGCTATTACACTAAAATTATGTTTTTTATATTCTCTAATGTCTAAATTAAATTTTGATTTATAGCGTGAGGTTTTTCATGCAGTTTTGACCGAGATATCGCAGTTTCAATTTAAATATGCATTTTCGAAAAGTGTAAAAATTAGCTAAAAATGGCATATTAAAGTTAACTGACAAATCCTAGTATTTTATCGCACGTATTCGTCTGTTTCAATGACGTTTGAATAGAAACATTTGACAGATGGATATGGTCTTTTTATCTTCTGTGTTATGATATGCTGGAAAGCGTTAAAGCAAAAATTGGCTATTTTTGGTTTAGACTTTGTTCCAAATATTTCATGTTCCTTGTGGGATGAAATTCGTTCGGTACTGGTAGCGCAGCAGTTTAACAAATAATTTCGCATGAATTTTGCTTGTTCTTTTCTTAATATGCCTCGTCTAACGATATACAACAGCGAATTTGGGTGTGCACAGAATATGCCAGGGTTAGCTAACAATGCTCAAGAAGCCTTACGAGGAAAAACGTTGAAAACGAACGTGAATGATTATTATACTTTCTTATTTAATATACCATTTTTGACTAATTTTTGCACTTGTCAAAAACACGTATTAAAAGTGAAACGCCGATATCGCATGGAATATGGTATATACCAAAGTTTAAGTTAGACATTCACGAATGTAAAGAAAGTTATTTCAGTGTAACAGGCCTTTTAGTTTTGAAGTTATACTCGATCAAACAGGTTAACTTTTTCTGATTGGTCGAAGGCCGTGTTTGGATCAGGCCAAACACGGAAATTTAATTCGCTTTTTAAAATCAAACTTGGAAGACTACCTTGTTGTTGTTATTTTATAAAACAATTATTTAATCATTTCCCGTGTTTGGATGGCCTGGGCCTGATCCAAACACCTCGGAATGATGCGAGAATAATGGTAAAAAAGGTCGCAAATTCACTCGCGCTTTTCTTAAATCTCGCAACATTCCCGCGTGTTTGGATCAGGCCATCCGAGCACGAAAACCATTTAGTAATTGTTCAATGAGATAGCTGTGTACGTTGCATCAAATGTGGTCAGTGGCCTAACTAGAACGATAATTGTTTTGTTTTTTTTTGGGGGGGGGCTTTTTTCATATATCACTTTCTGCCCGACGGATTTCTTTTGTAAGTGCAATAGCTTTTAATAGAAATTCGTCGGGCAGAACCGAGTCTATGAATAAACACTGCTCCCCTCCCCCCCCCCAATTACCGTTCTATTTACGCCCCTGAATGTGGTAAAACAACGGCCTAAAATAGAAAAAGACACTTCTTAGGGGACATGTCGCAGAGCTATGCTAATGGTTGAAACAGAAATTAATGTATTGTAAAGTTCAGCCAATGAAAAGAGAGACCGAGAGAGAAGGGCCGAGAGAAAAGTGTTTTTGCATATTTTTGTCAGTTTTTATACCACAATTGATGCAAAAGTGTAAAGAAGACGTTGCGACGCTGTTCCCTGGTTGTACAACGACGTGTTCAAGGCGAAAAATTGACCCATCATGAGTTCATTAACGACATAGTTTTCAAATTAAATATTTGTCTAAGCTAAGAAGAAAAAAGTTGAAGTTTATGCAAATCAGCACAAATGTAGCTATATGCGTCACAAACATGATCGAAATAAGCATTCATCATTCTTGAAATTTTCTCTTCGCTTATAGGGATTTTGAGTACATTGTGCCTTACCTGAATACATTCGTATTATATATATATATAATATATAATATTATAATATATATATAATATAATATATTATATATATATAATATATATACACCCATTTGCAAAAACGTTGGCCGCAGATAGATAGATAGATAGATTACACAACATATGCAATTATAATTAGATTTCGAGTATCTATCTATCTATCTATCTGCGGCCAACGTTTTTGCAAATGGGTGTATATATATATATATATATATATATATATATATATATATATATATATATATATATATATATATATATCCATACTGATTCCCAAGAAAAATATTACCGTGGACTGTTTTTTGTTTGCCATCCAATTCACTTATAAACCCGTGCCGTTCACGAGGATGACACATGTCAATTTGACACTAAAGATTTCGTTAATTTTATTCGAGTCTAGTTCATGAAAATTGAATACATTGAAGTGTCATGTTTTTAGTTATCTCGGCAATTATCTTCATACAACTTTATAAATATTGCAAAATATCAAACTAATAGCTAATACGTGGAATTTAATAATTATATATTATTTTTTATGACTTTCCTTATTTTAATATATCATTCGTTGTTCACACGCAGGTGGTCGTCTTCAATAAGACAGCGCTACAAATGATTGCTCATAAAGTTTTCTTCCTATATAGACCATAAATACTTTATGTAGATAACGTCGATCGTTTTGTCCTGTGGTGAGCATATAAACGTGGAAATGGACACTGAAAATGTGACATATTCGTTGCAATCCTACCTCACTGGAAATGAACGAACAATTTTAACTGGACTATTTGCGGTGTTGAGCATATTTGGCTTGTTTGGAAACGGAATTGTTGTTTACGTTGTAATTTCTCTTCGACATTACCTTGACGTTCCTGCTAATATATTTATTCTCAGTCAAGCGTTTACAGACTTTGGGACAGCATTATCTCTGCTTATTTATATAGTGCATATGTATGTCTGGATTTGGGACGTATTCTTTTGGTACACGGCCGTTGTTTGGTTGGCTTCTTTAGGGAGTTTATTCTTGCTTACTTTAAACCGTCTGCTTTCGGTGATTGATCCATTCGCCTATCCACGACGGATGACAGCAACACGAGCAAGAGGATTGGTAGTTTTGAACTGGATGTTGGCATTAGTTGTCACAGTGTATCCATTACTGATACCCGGGGGTTCACTGGATACTAGTCTTGGTCGGTACTACATTGTTATAACAACTACATGTGTAATACTTTTAACCTGTACCTGTTTCGCGAGGGGAGAATTCAAAGTAGAAAAATCAAGCGGCAAAGTCAAATCGTGACAGGCTTGCAGGTACTTGTATGCCAATTATTATTATATTGTTATTTCCCCATTACAAGGTTTTTAATGTAAAAGTTGTGGAATTAGAAAAACATTTATTCAGGTACTACTTAGACAAGATAAAAAATCCGAGGTCTCTTTGACTCTATCAAAGTGGACAAGTTTAGAAAATACTTTAATGATATTTTATATTACACTGGGGGCAGTTGTGATTCTTCCCAAGGGTGAAATTTTGCTCCTCGAAATTTCCCTACAATTCGAGACGACTTTGTATCTTCATAGAGGAGATATGATCAAATAAAGGCCTCTTCTGAAAACAAATATAGAAGAATTGCTTCCAATATCAAGAAACGTTTTATTTTAAAGTGAACTGACCGTATGAAACGATATTTTAATGGTGGAAAAAAACTTTCAGTAGACTTCAGTAAAATGCACAGCAATTTCCATAACACAGCATAATGAGTCCTTACGTTACCTGCTTTATTTGCCAATAAGTTTACCAAAGCTGTTTAAACATTCTTTTATTCCTAATAAACTTGTACAAGCAAAATACGTTCGAGAAATTGTAAGAAAACTGTCAGGAGAAGTTTACAGTAATTTAAAAACTTCTCTTCAGAGAATAATAAGTTAGGGTGGACATTTTACTGTGTACAGTTCACGAGGTTTATTGCAATTCTAGATAAAAGACCAAACGATGATTTTTGTTGTATGCTACTATTGACAGAAATACTTCAAAGAAGATTTCAAATCAGTTCGTACCCAGGCCATGGTTGGTGGAACGTTTTTGGTGTGTTGCCTCCCAATTACGGTGGTGGTCTTTATCTACGGAGATGACCAAACCTCTCGTGAGTTTCAAAGATATGCAGCGTTCAATGCAATCCTCGATCCAGTGATATACTACTTCCGGAGTCGAGAGTTTCGTGCATTTTATCTGAAGTTCAAGAGATCTTGGCAATCCAATGATGCGAACTTTTCCAAATCTTTTAACCCACCCAAGAGTTTGCAACGGGTGTGCAGAGTCAAACCAGCTAAAATCGAAGTAACCGAATAATTGACTAGGAAAGATTCAAATACTGAATACTTCATGATATTTTTTGCAATCCGATTTAACCCGTGTGATTAGGGGATAATTTATTATTTTCTGTTATACATCTTTAATAAAGTTAAAACTCAAGTGAATGTTTAAAGTCAGCCCGGGCTCTTGCTATTGACGGTAGAACGTTCTTCGCCTGTGTCATGCTTCCCATTCACAACAGCAGCATTGACCTACCTAAAGTGCCCAAAGAAATGCGTCGTTTCCAAAGAACTCATAGGTATAAACTTACATGCACTATAAACCTTCAGAATCTCGTTTAGTAAACAAAACTACCCGATGTAGATAGCTTCCCATATTGCCAAGGAGCAGCGTCGCAGCGTCTTCTAACAACTTCACATTATGTATAAATGCGGTAATTAATATAACAACTGCCGAAAATAGACCAAGCTGGCACTTCTCGACGTTTCGACCTCGAGAGCCTTTGTCAAGAGAGTTATATTTATCATTAATTTATAGACATGGAGTTAAGGGGATTCGGCAAAATATTTCCCTGATGTTATTTTTGCCGAATCCCCCGAGCCGGGGCTATATATAAAGATATGTTATCACAACCGAAAGTATATTGTGAGCTTGTAGAGAGGCAAAAATACAGTACAAAGGTTCGCCGGAGCTGAGAATTATTTCTATATTCTGTAAATCAGTAAAAGTACTCGAAGAAGGCGAAAAAAAATTACCGTAAAACGTATTTTAACACTAGTCAATTTTTTCGTTTTCTGTATGTCTCTCGTCGAGAATACGGTTAATTTTCTCGTCAGAATCGTTAATTTCTTGTTTTCAAACAAACAGTAACACTATTCCCACCATTATTTTTAGTGATTGCGTGTAGTCCTCGCGAGACGTCGCGTGAGATAAATTTAATACCAGAGTGTGATAAATTTAATGTCACACCCCCATATATCATAATATATACTCTCATACCGTTTCAGACGTCAAACTCTCCATGTGTCCATTCGGTCCGAATGGAATGCAAATGGACTTTAACTCGTTCACATTAGGTTAGGCACAGGCAGTTGTCACACCACATTTGATGGGAATCACTACCGTACAGCGGCGTAGCCGATGCTGGCTACGCCACTGCTACCGTAGCTGAGCAAGCCGAAGCAAATGAAGGAATCTCCCAACTTGTCAGGCAAATTTCAAAACAAATATTGTAAATTAGAATATGCGATGCCAGGCGTTGCAATTTTCATTGTTGATACGACACATTTGTTGATTTAATCATGCATGTCGCTATATTCATTTAATTTGACTGTCTTTAATATCTTCATTCATTCAATTTATTACTTTCGTTCTCATTTAATTTATTTTAAAATATTCATTAAATTTGATGAAATTATTTTGCAGCTGGTTCGATTTTTAATATATTTGTTTGAATAATTCCAATAATCATTCAATTTAATTTCCAAATTTTCACTTTCAACGTTTTAAAGTTAAAACATATTTACTGAATTTTATTTCTGCATATCATGCATTCAGTATTAATCAAAATTGATTAGATATAATAAATTTATTTGCGCATGCCCAAACAGCGGCGTGTTTAAGATATTGATCAAGATATTTTAGATTTACGCACCTCGGGCGGCTGAAATTTCCCCGAACTCACCTCGAATGTCGGTACATAATTTCTTGTTCAAAAAACGAACATTTTAGTTTCAAAACAAACAAACAGCGGTTCGAATTAAAGCTTATAAAAACGCTAAATACTCGCTTATTTTTGAAAGAGAAAATGCACAAATTAGGCGGAAACATTGCCAGTGTTTATGGATTTTGCCGAACATTTTTCGGCGGCCATCATCTATCAGCTTACCTGATAGCTTTTATCGAATTCTACCAAATTTATTTCAAAGCTTTTATCGAAATTTTCCGAAATTTGGTAGAATTCGATAAAGCTTTTTGATAAATTAGGTAGAATTCGATAAAGATTGGAAAAGGGTGATAAAAATTTGCCGAACCGTCATGCCCTATGGGCAGCTACCACCCCCCTGCCTGTCGATTAACATTTACCAACAACAAAGACGTCGTCAGGGGGGAACATATATTTATATATTCCTGTTCTACATTGTTCACTTTTGATAACGATTGCTTTTACTGTCAATGAACATAAATACATGCATAAATAACCCCCCCCCCCTTCCCACCTTAACAATGTTGGTTACCCTAATGATTGTCCAATTAGCCCTTCTCCTACGCCTAATAACTCTGATTAACCTTTCCCCTACGTCTAATAACTCTGATTAAACCTTTCCCCTACGCCGAATAACTCTGATTAAGCCTTCCCCCACGCCTAATAACTCTGATTAACTCTTCCCCTACGTCTAATAACTCTGATTAACTCTTCCCCTACGCCTAATAACTCTGATTAACTCTTCCCCTACGTCTAATAACTCTAATTAACCCTTCCTCTACGCCTAATAACTCTGATGTACTCGTGAGATAAAGTTGTATCCCGAATAACAATTATATTTTTTATTTAATAGATTTATTGGCAGCTTGGGATAATCTATCTCCTTTGTGACTCTTGTATCCTATGTAAACTCGTATAACTATTGGCACTATTCAACATGGCCGCCAATATGAGATTTAATGAATAGATTTTGAGAATGAAGTATTCTTAATGAAGTCGGGATTAAAAATTGTGTCAAATTAGGCGGCTTTAAATCTCGTGGTTTTAACATTGGCTATGAAGCAAACAAAAATGCTATAGGTTCGGGCCTAGCGAAAGGCACAAACTAACGATTATATTCTTCCATAAACAATTAACAAAGCAAAGCTTAGTTTTTTTATGTACTGCTATGACGTTTTGTGCCATGTTTCCATTCTCTATTCAATACCGCATTTTCAGTATGTATTATTGGTGCACTCTAAAAAATATACGATTTTGTTTTGAGATATTGATGTCTAAAAATTTAACCTATTATATCTTTAACCTATTCCATGATATCAAATGGTATAACGTGAAGCACAAAGGTTTTCACGAGTTTGGGACGATAACAGATTTTTCTGTACTCGAAATGCAGTTTTATTTCATGTTCTTTGTGTCATGTTTAGGTAAGAATATTTGAAGCTTAATGTGCAGTAAATTTCTCTAAACATAACTGTTAATAATAATATGGTTGAATGAACCACTCCCCTATATTCAACTGAATTTAAAATTTGGAAAATTCATCAGTATAGCTTTAAAGAACAAGCTAAACTTAGTAAGTTTGGAAACTTTGGTTGGATTATGTTGTAAAACATTATTTTGATGGTGCTATACTCTGATTTTCTAACCGGGCAAGCTGACCCGAGTGGCACCGCGGTGTCAGAGTAGCACCATCAAAATGGTACTTCGTGTGCCTGAGTTATATGCAATAAGTTCAATAGGGGAGTGGTCCTAAAGGCCCTGTTACACGGTGCAAATTTTCTTGAAACTTGCAATACAATTCTTCTTTTCAGAGATGTAAATTTGGCTACTACCGAATTTTTGTCTTTATTACACCCCATGGCGTTTCTTACACTTACATTTTGGGAATTCGTCACTAATTTACATCTCTTAAAAGTAGAATTGCATTGCAAGTTTGCAAGAAAAATTGCACCGTGTAACATGACCTTAAGATATAGCCATGATATTTAATTGTCTTATCTAACTATTTATATTACAGAAACAATCGTTTTTCTCTCAGCAATTCTCGTGGCAATACAAACATTTGCGTACTGGACAAGTCTTGCAATTATTCCGAGGTAATTCTGAAGACCGGGTGACTTGATTTGCGATATTTCACGGTGCACTTTTCACTGTTACATCCCGTTTCTGTCAAATCGTATGTACTTTAGTGCCATCGACATTTTATTCTCTTTTTTCGCTTTAAATCTACCTGTGAATAAATGAGTTTGCACCAAGATGGCCGCCTCATGTCTAATTATCTACTTTTTAATACGTTTTAAAGTATGTTCAAAGAGATCTGTAAGCTTTATCTCTTTTCAACGACAAAAACAAAGACATTTTTGCTTCATAGTGAAGCTTTAAGTCGTGCCCAGTTATCAGAATCGTAGTCAACTTTCCAAAACGAGATGAAACTTCTACAAAGAGACATGGAAAGCTTTATCTCTTCGCTTTATCTCTTTTCTACTCAGCGCAAAACCTAGTAACTTGCAAGAAAGTGTTTGCATCTAAATAAAATCAACAGAAAAGAATCTTCATCGGATGTAAACCCTCCCAGCGAGCTTGCAAGCTCGTCATTGCGATGCGTGAAGCGCTGTTGTCGACTTCTATGACATCATACGTGCCTGGTCGGTTGCTATTACATCACTAGCTGATTCCGGGAAATGGTTTAAATCAAAAGTTTTTGCAGGATAACAGTAGCCTGTGTTGTACCATCATAGGTATGGTGATATTCTTCGAGTTCTATTGCTGTCCAGTTTTGGTAAACTTTTGGCATTCCCAGCCGTGATCTGGGGTCAAACACACAGTGCGGTCTATCTCGGGCTGACAAGATTGTTCATTTTTACTTCAAATATTGTCGCTTTTAAAGGTATAATATCAGATAAATTATCTCTACTCTCTACCTTTGATAATAATTTGGCCGTACTCTGGAAGGGGTCAGATTCTTTTGCAATAAAATTTGAAAATTTTTGATTATTTTTAATTTTGACTCAAGAAACCTGTTTTTGTGTAACTCGTAACAGGTCTCGCAAATTTAGAAAAGAACCAGAAATGTGAAATTTCTGAAGAGCAGGAGACAATCTGACTAGCCTCGCCTTCGTGTAACTGGCAACAAGCCCCCTCCATTTTTCCGCATTGATCTATATTATTGGCGCAACGAAAACTGGATGCAGGGGCCAACATCCAGGCTGAACGATATAAGTCCCATTCGCGTTTAGCATTTTCTTCTTATGGTGGATGTGAACGAATGGATATTTGTAATGGGTTTAGATAAGGGCGCTTTATTCCGGAGTTTTTACGTCGGAGAACTCACAAGTAACTCGTTCGCATCTATCAATAGAAAGAACTGAATCATTGCCGCTTAAGTTGCAAGATGGTCGCGCCAACAATGACCTTACAGGTGACTGAACAATCTGAGCCACACTATATGTGTGATGAAATTTCTTCTTTTGGGATCTGAAATTTCTATTTTCGTCAGTTTCTTAATGTGTAGAAAGGAAGGTAAGCGACTGTTCTTCGAAATGACGTGAAAGGAACATAAAAATATTTACTCAGGTATCGGCGCGACTGCGAACTCCGAGTTTCGTTTACTTTTTTTGCCTTCACCATAGGAAACCCTAGTTTGCGTGATAATTTTAGCCCGAAAAGGCTGTAATCATTGTTTTCTTAATTTTTTTAGTTCTTTTTGGCAAGATAATTCCTGCAATATTCATTGTGACCTTTGGCAATGGACTGATGTACAGTTTTATAGCTGGATATAGGACACTAGAACTTCAGGAATATATTGTTCGATGATGCCCCGAACGATGAAACTAATTCAAAGACTTATATGGCATTGTATGGGCAATCAAAATTAACATTGTATTATTTAGCTATAAATAAGCTATTATTTGAAAGAGCTGAATGTAACATAATAAGTTCTTTTTTCAGAATTGCTATGGCAGTCTATATGTCGTTCTTTGTTCATGGAATATTTTGGCTGAAATCAACGAACTGTCCACCATCTTCAGTTCCTGGCTTTAAAGTAGCCTCATTAACCAAAATTTTGAAAGCATAAAAATTCTTTATCCAATTGCACGAAAGCTTCCGAGCACTGTGACATGTCCCCGACACCTCCATAGTTCACCCTGTCATGATATTAGTCTTTGAAGTCCAAAATAAAATTGTTGTTGGACCCCCGCAAGCGACGTAACTTGCATAAATTGCGGTGCCCGCGCCAAGTTTGGCACCGCATTATATTCTGCCTGTGAGTTTGTTTGTTCGCATCAATACGTTTCCTTAATCGCCAAGTAAAAATTCCTTGCACATACTTGGAATGCTTGGAATTTTTTCCTAATTATTACTATTAATCTTGTTGTACGTTTGGCAAATTCCTTTTTTAAAGGAACGTTCTTTTTTCAATTTCAATCTCAAACTCTGATAATTGCGTGTATCTCTGCTTTTATGCACCCAAGAAGAACAAAAATACCACCATTCGATTCAGCGTAAGAAATTATACTTACAGGTCTTAAATATATTACTAAACAAGAGTATTCGCAGCGATTTATGACGTTTGAAAGACAAACGAAATTGAATTGTTGACAAATCGCTCAAAATTACTATGCTATACTTTACTAGTAATAGTAAGTTTGGTCTTTGATATCTTTCATATCGTTGGTTTTCTCTTTTAATTTCGTCCTTAAATAAGTGGATCGGTCTTACATTGCGATTTATTTTATAGTACTTTGAGCCAAATATATTCTATTTCGAAGGTTTTAAAGTATAGTTTCAATAAGCGAACTTTTTGACAAATCGCTCAAAATTATTAAACAAATTAAAAATGCAGTACGCTTAATCCTTGACTACGCCAGTTTATTCGTCTCACGTTTCTCTTCATTTTGATAGTATTCTTAGATAGTATTTTTAGCCTAAATATTTTATTTCTGAAGATTTTAAAACGGCGCAATTTTGACCTTAATGTACCAACCAACCAGGCTGCGGCCGACAGGAGAATGTAAGTTGGTGATGTCGTTAGAAATAAGCGGACGTTTTATTTCTAGACAAGCATTGCGGGCACCGCATTTTAGTACTGTGTCTGGTTACTTGTTGTAATTCAGATGGCGGTTCGCTTTCAGACGAAATATTGCATCAGGCACAGAGACGCCGGAAGCAGTTCACGGCAGTAGTTCCGGCGCCCCCGTTGAACAAGTACTGTATGCAAACACGCATGCCAGCGTGGGCCGTGGAGCGTAGGTAGAAGAGCCTGGTCTGCGAGGTTGGCACTGTATGATCTCGCTGCGAGTAATTTCGTTTAATCACAATGCTTGACAGTTTATTTTAATTAGATCGATGCAAACACTCGCAGCGAGTGGGAAAGAGCCTTAAGATTAAATATATTTTATTGCCTGTACTCGTAGGCATACGACATGAGCCCCGTTTACACTACACTCAATTTATTGGCACGGCACGGCTAAAATGGGTACGCGTGCCCAATTTTATTAGTGCTCACTGTTCAGGCTATCAATACAAAGGCTGGGCACGAATAAAAAAGGCACGGGTACCCATTTTAGCCGTGCCGTGCCGATAAATCGAGTGTAGTGTAAACAGGGCTATGGAGTCGCCTTCCCAAAAGGCTGTTAAATAGGAAGCTATCTTCACTTCTGGAATGTTTGTCTTTTATGAAACCAATATGAGGACCCAAATGTGCATGTTTAGTTAATTCAGTTAAGATTGCGTGCATTATTGGCAGAAACGAATTAAAAGAAGGAAACTTGTTTGAAGACACGGCCATGGGTTTGGAAGACAACTATATATCGCTCGCGCTATTTCGCATAAATTGATTGCTGTGCAGATATAGCCAGTGATTACTGTCGCTTTAGTACGAATAGTTCAAGAACCGACATTTTTTCATCAATGTTTTTTGAAAAAACCTCACAGGCACAAAGGTGTACAACTCACTCCCCCCTGCCGTACACACCCTTTACCCAATGGCCAGCTGGTATTCTATTGTAACTGTGGTAGGGGGGGGGGGTGCAGTCGGGGTCGTTTGAAGAGAGTCAGAATCACAGGATAAACAATTGATACTGTTTTAATTAATGCTTCAAACCATTAGATTTAAATATCATATTAACTAAAACTATATCTTATATAGTTCACAACGAGTGGACGAAATCGTTGCTGTTCACTCGAGCTTGCATTACCTTATACAAAATATTTTTGTCAATAGTAATTAAAAATACTAATGAATGGAATCTAGAATGCATATGTCTATTACTATATTGTATCAATTATCGTTTCAATCTTAAATACGGGTCACTAACCCCTAGTGTTATACATCGGACACTAACACTTGTATAAATTAAACAATAGTCAATACGTTTTTCAATTGTTAAAGAAACTAATGTTTTTTCAAATTACGTTTTTTCTATTAGGCCTAGTTTTCGCTTTAAACATGGAGTAAGGATTAATTCCAATTCTTGAATACGTCGTCGAAATCGACATCTATCAGCAGCTGCTAATTCCCAGTGTCCCTTTCGAGCCTCACGGTAAGCGAAGTCCCAATGTCTCATCTCGTAGACAACAACAAGATCATCGTCTCTTTCAAAGCAAACTTTTTTTCTGGATTTTTTCTTTCCCGTTGTTTTCCCGGTGACGACACAACAATCAGTATTGGACGAAACATTCACCTTTAATTTTGCAGATTTCTCAGTCGTGACAAAAGCATCGAAACAGTTTGTTGTTTGTAATTCTATAGGATAGGTCTTTTCAGGATAGGTCTTATCAGATGTGACTTGGCTAGTTGAACAACAATTCGAGTCTAAGCAACCCTCGGCCTTATAAGATTCATGATTCAATGCATCAGATTCATGGCTTTTACTGTTAGTATTGGACGAAATGTCTATTTTTACAGACATAGAAGATTCTGTGGTTAGTTTTCTGGGGCACATAGAGTGTGGTGTAATTGGTGAAGTATTCAGGCATATATCCAGACAAGTCGTGGAATTCGCGCTAACGCAGCATGATAGCTTTGCTGGAGTACAAGGGTTTTTTAGAATTAAATTGAAATCATAAGCTGCATCATCGTCCAAAGTATCTTCTTCAAAGACAATAAAATCGTCATCTGCGCAGTTATCGTTGGAATTCCCAGACGATTTGTCGCTAAACATTGAATCATAACTGAACATAGAATCGCATTCCCCGAATGTCGAGAATCTGTAATCCTCGCAAAGAGGCATTCGCCTCAAAGGATCACTTATGTCAATGAAGAAGCATATGGACTTATTATAAACCATTTCACTTTTAAAGTTGCCGTCGATAGAACAACATTCCTGGTTGTCAGCCATTGTTACTCTTGTTCTTAAATACAAAGCGTCCACGTCGATTTGTGTGGGTGCGCTGAACGCGAATGGTGTATCCTCAATACCACTGTCCAGTCTTTGAAAAATAAGTTTATCAAAGCCAAAGGTTCGCTCTTGAGACCGCTTGAAACAATCTACCGGAGATTGCAATTTGGTTTTTATTCGTAAACTAACTAAGTCGCCGGACTCCTGAACTTCCAAGTCTCTTTCGCACAACGGTCGGCAAGTTTGTTTATCAAAATTTGTCAGGCTGGTTTTCTCTGAAAAACTGTTTTCCTCGAACGAATTACTCTGGCTGTTTTCCTCTGTGATGTTTATTTCCGGAGTTGCATATCGGTATTGAAATAAGCTGTCAAGTCTTTGCCATAAGTTCAACATAGTAGAACTGTCCTTTTTATATTGATTTTGCAATCTTTTTGAAGCTAAAACACTAGGAACGTCCACAGAAGTAAAATAATGAAATATTTTTGGTGCCAGTCTGGGCTGGTCCATTTTTTCTGCAATATTTTCATTTATTGCATTATTATTTTCGGGTAAATACCCACTTTTTATGTAAGGTAAACTTGATAAATAGTTTCCCATAGTTTTTATGTTGAACACAACACTTGAATAGACTTGTTTGTTATTCAATGTACAAACTCAGCAAAATCCAACAACAGATCATTGCAAGTTTTGTTTTTGCTAAAGAATAAAAAAAAATCATATCAATAAGGTTGACGCATCATGTTTATTGACAAGCCATTGCAATTAAAGCCAAAATGTGGACAAACATATAATAACTATCAAATGTAACTAAAATAATAAAGTTACTGGAGAAAAGTCAAAATTATCCCTGTTTAGTCAGTTTTGTGAAAAGTACAATCTAAGCATATTTGATTTTCTGTTTATTCACCACTGTGATTTTGAACTGAGAAAACTCAATATGGAATTAGAAATTGCTGATGAGAGCCTAAAACTGCTGACAACTATTTTTGAAACTCTACATGGCCAAAAATTGATGAGGTTGTCACATCAGGAGTGAACAATGTTGCGCTGCACCCTGGGAACAGTATTGTTAACAATGTTGTTGAAGCTTGTTGAATCATCAATGTTGATGCAATGTTGTTGTAACAAGTTGCAACAAGATTGATATGATTCAACAAGCTTCAACAACATTGTTAACAATACTGTTCACAGGGTGCAGCACAACATTGTTCACTCCTGTTTTTAACAACTTGCATCAACATGATGATTTTTACGTGTGTAGTTAAAACGTATGTTAAAACCCCATGAATCGACAAATAATGTGCATACATGTGACACACTTAGAATATACATAGCAAACTTTAGCATAATAATATAAGCAAAATACTTGGATTACGAATTGAATTATGACATTTATAATTATAAATTATTGAACATGATATATATACTGGTACAATTAAGCTTTAGACACAATTTGTCACTTAGGTTACAAATTTTTGAAGCATTAACAAAATAAAGCCGCAAGTTTGTCCATAGAAGAGCCCCTGGTTCGAAAATTGGTAGAGATCAAGGCATTGATAAAACTGATTGGCCCCAAGGCTCTGTCTAACATGTGAATGTGACTTGTCCTAAATATTATTCAACTATTTTATGCCTCAACTTAATAATTATGTTAATTTTACATTTTTACCTATAGAAAACCTCTCTTGTAAATGTGGTTATGAAATCCAAATACCTTTTTAGTCACTCAGCTGCCCATGTGAACAAATACTCAATCACAGAACTACACAAATATATATGGTTGCCCCCAATAATATGAATCATACACCATTTCTATGTCTCAAAGGGGAAATTGAGCAGTTGCTATTTAAAAATATGCAAAGTTTTGTTTATTAGTTTTCCTAGTAAAGCCTTCTTTGAATTGGGGCCAAAGTCTTGCATGTCACATGGGCATACTAATCAGCATAGGTTCAGGCAAGCCAAGGTTACAAAATTAAGAATTAAAATAACTCTTTGTTATGTATAAAGTGGCACTTATGTAGAATATAAAGGAACCGTACAGTTAAACATACAAGCTTCGAATACAGCCATATACAGATTATTTTAATACTTTGAACATCTCATGTACTTATATAGCAATTTTACAACCACGCCTTTGATATATAATGATATTGATACTGACAGAAGATAAAATAAAGACAACACTTCAAACCCAAATAGGTTTTAAAAAGTAGCTAACCTTTGTTGCCATATAATACTTATGAACAGCTGGCTCCCACGTTTCTTCGTGTGGCTTCGGTTGTATGATTGTAACACATTGATCGGTCCATTTGTCATACATGCCATGGAAATTTAACTCCGAAGATGAAAATATACTGTTCGCCATATTCGATTGACTATATTAATCCAGTTTATGAAACTCAAAAAAGACCCAACGACATAGTCTAGCTTTCGGGTAGTTTTCTCTTGTGTTTTTAAATAATGAATTCTGAGCACAAATTCTGACGAGATTCCTTATATAGGAAGTTGAAAATGCAAGAATCTGAAGCGTGACTCAGCCTTAGCTTCCCGCTGAAGTCAATGACGTACTGGAGAAGCTGATGCAATGTCTTGCAGGGAAAACCCTTGGGAAACCCCTTGAGGGAAACGTGTGAATAGACATATGGCAGCAAAAAATCCCCGAACAGATTTTGAATCGTTCCTAACTCACGAAGCAACAGAAAGAACGAACTTTCTTATGAGAATAGATAATTCGCGTGAATGTAATTTGAAATAAAAATGATGATGTAAGCGAAATTCTTAACCCACTACAACTTGGTGGGTGTTGAATAGATCAAAACAGCTCTCGCGCGAAATTTAGGTCTTTAAAAAAATGCCCACTTGGAAACTGGAAATACAAACTTGCATTTCCAGTTTCCAAGTACAAACAATAAATGCATTCGTTCACTGTATTGTACGCACAAATTGTGGACGTGCGGTCACGGTGCAGTATAGCCTAGTGGCGAAATATTACACGATCCAAATCATCCAATCTAGTCCAAATTTAAAAACCTTTATAACAATTCAACGCTGCTCGTTAATTATTCATTTCTAAATAATTTTTCGTATAATTTATCCTACTGGCCAGACAGTAGCCTAATCAGCCTGAAGATTTTGTCCAGCTATGCTAATATTTTGGACTTTGGTGTTTATTCACTTCTTTTGATCATGACTGTGAGGCAACCAATTTCTATTTCATAAGAATAGAATAGAAAAGAAGAATGAAAAATTGATAACTTAATGCTAGTGTGTGCTATATACTAGTGTGTACGGCGCAACCTGTCCTAGGAGCAATTATAGAATACCCGTATTTTCACTATTTTGCAAACCCAACAAATTTGGAAATTACATAATCTTTTTAAAAAAGAATGTTAAAATCACCCGAACATTTCAGCTTTTGCCTTCCATTGACTTGATGTCGTTCAAAGTGGGATTTTTCGACATGCACTTCTCAGAAGCATGTCATAATGGCATAGAAAAATTAGAAATAATCAAATAAATTCGGATTTCCAAGAAGACATGAATAGCATATTACCACTTCCGGTAAAAAAGGACATTGACCCCACTCAAATCACTATGAAAACAAATCGTGAAACCCACCAATCACCACTGAGCAAACAAAAATTAAACCACAAATAAAACCCTGAGGGGAAACCCAACCGGTCGGAAACTTTCGTGGATTGCCGTTAAGGACTCTTATCGCGGGAAAATAAAGTATGGCGAATAAAGTCAATAAACAATATTAGACATTGAAAGGATTGAATGCATATTTTGCGTGGTATTCTTTTATCTGGTTGTATCTAAGTAACAAAAAATGTAAGACTTTCTATCGCTCTTCCGTAGCATGTAAATGAGGAAAATTAAAAAGTAAAGTGTGTTCTAAGATGTAAAATTCCAATTTCTAATTGCATTCTGCTACATGTGTTGATAACATTTCATGATTTAATTTAAATAATCCTTCTCACTTTGCTTATATACTACTACAGCCATAAAAACACAATAATAGCTAGCCCTGCGTTAAATAATTAACGATGTTCCCGCTTGAGTGGCGATTTATAATACTTTAGCATTCAGCCAGTTATTTTAAACTGCTATATCCTGCACCACAATTTAAAACGTTATCCTGTACCATAAATATTCAACAACAAAGTATTAATACCGTAAATGATCAGCAATTTTCCCTTCTTTCCATTGAAAAACTGCCAGTCATTTAGTATTTCATTGACGTTATGGTAACAATATACCTGGCTGCCAGTACTAGCCAGGTGGTTAATCAATGCAAGAGAAAACTAGATGAATGGCTGCTGGCTATGTATACTCATCTTTTCATTTAATATCCACAGAAAGGAATGGGCTTTGGGGATTCAACCTCGTGATCCTGAAATTGTTTCAGTGGGGTTAGGCCTGCATGTCCTTGAGTTGGTCAGCATCACTAAGGACAGGAAGGGGGGGGGGGGGGTGAATAGCATAACTCAGAACTTGCAAGGCAAAATTTACACATTTGTGTCTCGGTTAATGAATACCGCTAGACAAATTTAGATTTAACTTTAAAATTAACCTTCCTATTAGCTTAGCCAAGACGTTAATGGTTTATATTAAAATCACAAAATGAGTTGGTCTTGGATGGGTGCAGATGATGGTGATGGAAATGCTGAGGAAAATGAAGGTGGAAATGAGATGGTAAGATTGGTAACAAAATATCATTACAATGCTTTGTGTAGTCACAAAAACTTGCCTTTATTTTACTAGAATCCATAATTTAGTGGTTTCATAATTAGAGAAATTTTCTCCAACATGAACACTATTTTTAAGAGAGGACTATAAGAGGAATTCATATGAGCATATCACTATATGCATGTAACTAAATTTATTGCCTATACCTGTTGCTCATACTGTATGACATTTGCTTAATTTATCTATATTATATTGGATAAAGCTTTCCTTATAGTCTTACAAATGTTGGAACTTGACTTGACTGATATGGTGGTAATTAGTAACCTTTTCCCATATGCCTTAGTTTGGTCCCAACAATATTTACTCTTCTATAATTCTCCATACTTTTTGAGAAGGAAAAGAGTGTCAAAATGTCTTCATGATATATAAAGAATGATATTAAGGATGAGGATTAGGTCGATGAACGAGAAGAACAGAAATATACAGAGAAATAGTATAGAGTATACCTCAGTACCAGTATATACTAATGCCCGGACAAAAAATCAAAGCTGTAGAAAGAGGAAAGAATCAAGGAATATTGAAGAATATACATGCATCATTGTTAATTTCTTTGTTTTAACTCACTACCATGCAATTCATTCATGCAGATGACTGATGTGCTCTTCTTAAGTATTTTACTTTCCATAATGCCAGATGAACAAGATGATATTATATTTGTCAGTGGAAGAGTTCTGCCAGTTAATGAGTTAATCAGCTGACATCTTGGTGGAGTAAAATCAATGACATGGGTCAATTAGACCCTGGCCATTACAACTTGTTTACCCACAGATTATGTTTGCCTTACTATTAGACCTCTAATGAAATTTTTTGATTGTTGATTTCATTTGTTTGTATTTTCATAGGGGTACTGGGGCAATAAAGATAGCCTGATATTTCTCATTGATTGTTCAAAGTCCATGTTTGAAGGTGCCAAAGATGAGAAACCATTTCAGCTTTGCTTGAAGGTATTGATTAGACACCAAACAAGTGTGACACTGTTTACTCCAACACATCATGACTCTCAATACATTGGTTCTGTTTATAATGACTGAATAATATGTAATTATCTTGGACTAGTATGTACAAATACATATATTTTATGTCCTATGCAGTGCGCAGCATGTATAGAATAAGATAAAATGAAAAGGATTTGTTTGGGATTGTTTTCTTTGGAACAGTAAGTGTCAACAGATCACACTGTGTCCAAAGGGTTTCTATATAACCTGCAGTGCATACTCAATGGTTATACACATGTATACAGTATAGAGAGTGAGAAGGTTAGCGCTGCAGGCTAAAAGATGTCATGCAGTTAAAACATTGCAGGTCAATAGGGAGCGTTAATTTTACTACAGGTACAATAAAAGACTAAATATACTGCAATTATACAAGTTTTTTTGAAGGTAGTAGCTGGGGCGGGAAGGAGCTAGGATCCTACTTCTCTGGGGCCAGTTGTTCAAAGCTAGGTAACCAATGCTGGTTAGTGCTAAGATTTTGATCCAGTACTTGTTTTAGTGTATGACTTTTTATGTGCTGCTGAACCACTATTCGTTTTAAAACTTTGGAAAATAAGACTTCTATCAGTCCCGAAGATATACATGAAAAAAGATATTCAATTTTGTGAACAAGCGATTAGAAAAATATAAAGATTTTCTTTAACTCATAGTTAAACTTACCGGCTTTTGAACAATCGGTTCCTGAAGGGAAAAAAATTGGAAAATCAAACAAGCAGGTTTCCTGCCCGTTTTGTGTCACAGCAACCCCTTGAACAGGCATTTATTTTTGTGGTGACAATATCACGACCATTTTTTGCTTCTTAAATGTTCTCTCACTAATTTCAGGAGAAGGACCAGAACCCTAGTAATTTCAAGAATATATACATATATCAGGTTTGACAGATAAGATACATCATTAACCCTTTTTTATATGGCATATCTGCAAAAGTGATGCAATATTTTTTTGCTTTTATGAAATGCCTACCAGGCTACAGTCGCTACTATAATATACGAATTCATGCGTTTGTTTCGAGCTGTACCATATTATAATATCCTTCTATTAACTTCACTTGAAAAATTCTAACTAAGAGGATGTTTACATGAACATGATCCCGCTTAACCGAGATTCAACGAATCGTCAGGGGATTTTGAAGTGTTGAAATGAGAATATACAACATTTCTGGTAATCGCGTTTAGTCATCCTAACAGTAGCAAGTGCTTGTTTGATGTCACTTTCAATACCTCAAAGTCATCTCACGCTTCGTTTAATCTCGGCTGCGGATCTTGTAAGCACAAACAGCCCCTAAGATATACGTGTATAGTTTATTCGTGACTAACCCACCTAAATTGTAGGACCTTGATATGTTGGATGCACAGAAAATTCTGGACGTAGAAGATCTTCTGAAAGGTTTGATATCCTTGAGTTTTCTTCAAGCTGTATTTTTTATTTCTCTGACTCGCCTAAAAAATTTTACACTTAAAATTAAAGTTAAGGTTGAGTTATTGTCAGGAAAAGTATGTTTACAAATAATTGCGCATTGGTTCCTGATACGAATTATCACCATTACTCGTCAGGGTTCATTTGGCTTTGAATTTGGCTTACGTAGCTACCCTTTCTCTTAAATGAGTTAAATGGAATTTTATCGCTTTGAACTCTAGATTGTGATAGTTTCCAAGATAAATATGGTCACAGTTCTGATTTTTCTCTCAATGACGTTTTATGGACGTGTTCTAATATGTTTTCCAACAGGTAACTTCCCCCCCAGGTAACTTGTTAGTATAGGATGTATAACCAATTTATTTATGTCTCAAACCTTGCAGTGCTATGAGGAATGGACATAAAAGAATATTATTATTTACAAACAATGACGACCCCCACAAGAACAACCAGTCTCTGCAGGTAAATTACCAGCCTCGTACCCAGGCGCTTTAATAGTTAAATAAATAACGTTGCATTCAGCTATTGTATAGAGGTCAGCTGAAAAAAGCAAGCGCACCCTCGCGTTCGTTTCTTCTCAGCTGACGGATGTTTTTCCACAAAAGCACCTAGGTACGAGGCTATATACTTGGTATATGCGATATTTTCGAGCTGCGGCTGATTTTTACAGGGTTTGTACAAAACGTGAATGTTGTTAAATTTAAAATCAACAATTCTAGGCCTTGACAGTCATTGAATTCATGGAGAAATGCTTCAGTGAGACTTCTTGAATTCTAAAAACTAGAAATACATGCATGCAGCAACCCCTCGCCATTTCAAACGAAGCAAAATTATCGTATTATCATGTATTACCAGAATTGTAACTAAAGATTATTTTTGTGTCCTCAAATTTTCCCCAAATGTACACGTCATGCACACGCCACGACACTTGCTGGAAACATGGCCGCCTGTGATTTTTTTACTATTTCTGCCGCTTTAGTAGTAATTTGTTGGCTTTTAATTGATTTAAATTAATCAATTTATTTTGAAATGAATTTTTATCTCCGCAAATGCCAAAACATTAGTGAAATATGCCACACGACAGAGAGCATAAAAACAATGACGTAATGACAAATGAAGAATATCATTGCTGTTCCTTTTCACCGCTAACTTTTCAAGTTCTGATGATAGTTGAATATCTTTCCAGTGTTAATATAATTTGATTCACAATTCATATTATGTTTACGAAACTGCTGTGTTTCATATTGTGTTTACGAAATATTGTGTTTTTAAAAAAATAGTTTGCAAAATGACAGTTAAATTGCTGACGTTTTTCCTCGAAATACAAACGTTTTTTTTCGCCAATCTTCAAGTTGCTAATAACCAGTCTTTACTCGTTCAAATTTTGCGCATGCGCACAAGTACCATGACCATTCAACGTCCCCAACGTCCACGGTCCATGACATAGAATTTGGGTAACTTTTGGGTGTAATTCCTAATCTCCGGGCGGAATTAGTACCCTCACACAGCGCTCCGCGCCGGGTCGGGAATTAGAGTCTGATTGAATGTTAATATTCTCAATTTTCGTAAAACAATTTTCCAAGTTCTTTGACTTATTAATTTTATATTTCTTGCTCTACATTCACCTTTCAATCAACTGAAGGTCATTATACTGTTGCCTTTGAAGTATTTCTTTGAAAGTCATTGCAAAGTGCTTAAATATTAATACTTTTGCAGTGTACAAGCCCCCCTATTCGCAGTGCTATATTTTCTCTTTTCTTTTTAGAGACAAGCAAAAACAAAGGCTACGGTATATCTTTTTATATAATTTATTAGTGAACTTAAGCAAGTGACGTTTTTGACAACACGTACGTTGACCGGAAGTAAAGTTTTTGTTTCCCACCAATCACAATCCTTGACCCAGTCTTTTGACGTTACTCATGCCGTTTCTGGGTCGTCTCAGCATCACCTTATGCGAAATGCGAATAATATATAACATAACACACATATACACACTACACAGTTAAGTCAGTGCTTCCAACTGCATTTTTAGGAACGCTATGTCACTATAGAGAAAGCAAAAATTTGGGGCCCCGCGCGAAGAAAATGACACGGGCCCCGCGGTGTGGAAACGCGGCCCTGCGTAGTGTAGATAGGGTTTATGGCTCGTTTTGCAAAAGTCGAGCAACATTTTTCGTGAATTGCTCTCAAAATGCTTACGAAAAATGGTCTGATAATGATTTATTAATCAAGTTTTAAACATTAAGTAACCTTGTTTTCGTTCCGTTCTCGGTTCTGAAGCTTAAACCGATTTTCTTTCAGGATTTATTTGACGTTGGAATTGACATTGAGCTGATGCCGATTAAACCACGAATCGGACAATTTGATACAAGCTTGTTTTATGAGGTAAAGCAAGCCCGGTGAGGTTTTTTTTGGTAGACTTATCATACGTGAACTTAGGAACCCTTCCACAAGCAACGTTCAAGCTTAGTTGTATGAGAGCCACATGACACCCCAATCACATTTCAGTTAGTTTAAGATACTGACGTCATAAAGCACCTCGGCAAAACTAAGTTATCATAGGTTGCATTGAGTCATTTGTCTCCGTTCTTCCCAGTGGTTCTTCCTACTAATAGTATGAAGGGCGTGAGATTTAATTTTAATTTACAATTCACTATGCTATAAAGAAAAAGGCCTTTCATATAGAAATGTATGATTACACAAAAGTGCTGAAGACTACTTAATATGAAATAAAAGTTTTTTGGCTTCCAAGCCATTAGCGATGAACGTGATAAACCTTGTTGTTTGTATTCTGGAGGAACTGAGTTGGTTTACTTTTTCTTATATTTATTTCTCATCGTATATGCATTGGTTGGCTGGAATCAGTGAATATTATTGCTTATAATATAGCATATCGTTGGTGAAGTCGATGAAATAGACAGAGCTACTATGCCAGATCCTGCTGAAAAATTTGAAGAACTTCTGACGAGGTTTGTTAGCTTCATATTTTGAATATTTACCCGGCAATCTACCATCATGCAGCCTTAGAACATTTCACATTATTTTATGAAATATATTATTCATTATATCAGCAGGAGCTACACAGGCTATTTTTGTCAGTGATGTCCTCCTTCTGATATATGGGAATGAGTAAATTCAACAGAGTACATTAATACGTCTAGTTTATACTTAGCAACGATTGCGTACCCATAATTCGGCAGACACTCAATAACATGCACCAGAAAGCGATCATAAACCGCCTGCGTTGCTGCGGCTTAACGTGTCTCCCTACAGTTTCTTGAATTTAGATGCACATTTTAAACAGGAATGTTAAGCATCTAAATGTTTGACTATAAGAATAAAATTTTTTATACCTATCAGGCAACATACCTGAAGCCAAAATCTATTCAGAACTTATGCTTGGCAGCCGTTGCTATAGCAACAGAGAGGTTTCAAAATGGCCGCCAAATAGAATTAAATTTTATAAATATCGATAAACATTGGCGTAGCCAGCCTGACAATTTAGTCATGCTATGCTAATATTTTGGTG